TTTTTTTTTAGGGAGGGAGGATGGTAGGTGATGCTTCCATTCTGTGCGTCGTGCTATCAAGAATACACGGTGTCGTACTTTCCACTATCCTTTCCTGAAAACGAGAATAACTATTGTTCTAGTTCGGCTGTTAGTTACTGTACTGGTAATTTGTATAGGAGATAATATAGCACACGTAGTGAGAGACTCACTGCCCTCTTCCCTTCTCAAAATGAGAGGAGCGCTGGTAACATTCCTTCTCTCATTCAGTCAGGTCACTACTGGAAAACAAAAGGAACAAAAAACCTCATACCCAATACATGGATTAACTTGACATGGATCATTATTTTCACATTGACTTCCAATACGACTTGGTGTACATTTACAAATAAATCTTGTTCCATTTCTTATACAAGTTCCTCCCATATAACATGGTTGCGATGCACATGGTGATACGTGTTCACATAGATCACCATAAAAACGTGATTCATCACAACGACACAATGCAGTTGAATTATCTTCTTGAATAATGCAACGGCCGCCATGTTGACATGGACATGATAATTCACATTGTTCACCGTATTGATTTGGTGGACATTTACATGTTAATGTTGTTATTTTTGATGCATCACATATTGCTTGTTGTGATAAACATGTATCCGAACGACATTGACAAGCAAACGAACCATTTTCAGGAAAAGAAAGACAATTACCACGTGGACAAACATCCGGAAAACGACATGGATCAACTAATTTTAAAGTCGATATAAAAATTAGAAAATAAACATTCGAAAAAACAACAAAAGTGAACGAACTCAATAATAATTATTAGTAAAAAAAAACATACATTTAAACTCTAAACTGATATTCATTAGTATTAATAATATTAAAATAAAACCAGCAACTTAGATTGATCTTATGGATTAGAATTAAATTAAATTTATATTCACATTATCTAAATTATAATTTCTAAACTATTTTTCAAACGAATATGTCTCTAAGGATTTAGTATATAAAAATCTTCAGATTATCCTCACAACGGAAGTTACCCAATTGATTAATCGCTTTTGAGCCGGAAGCATTACGTCGTGTAGACTCTTATGGATTATGAATATCCTGAAAAGAATTAAGAACCATAGCTTATTGCTGCAAATATAATGCATTTTTACAGTAGTTTTTTAATGAATACCGTGGTTCTCTTCAGCAATACCAGAAAAAAAGGAATTTCGAATTTCGATTTGAACTTTTGCATAACAACACGCCTGAATGAGAATAGTTTATTATGAAAGTTTTAGATATTTTCGTTGTTCTTATTCGAAGATACAGCAATAGTAATAGCGTGTCTTTAATATCGCGCATATACATCCACAGATTTGATATTCTCATTTCAGGAACAGATCAAATAATCCGATACTTTCACAATTAATTATTCTCATTAAGCTTTGTTTTTTTACACAAAGTTTCAATTCAAAAAACAAAAATCAATTCTTCTAGTGTTCCTAAGAGAGACCACAGAATTCTATGAAAAAAAAATACCGTAAAAATGCAATATGTAGGCAACAATAAGCTATGTGCCCCGACTCTTTTTAGGTTATTTATAACTCATTAGGATCTACATGATGCATATGCTTCCGACTCAAAACTGACTAATCAGTTAGAGAACTTTCCTCATTCGTATATTCTACTTACGATGTTCACAATTGATTCCAATACGACCTGGCACACATTGACATTTATATGCATCATGGATGGATGTCAATGAATTTCCAATACATGTTCCACCATAACGACATGGATTACTTTGACAACCTGATGGTAATATTAACAAGTTAGCATTACCAGCAGACACTAAATATAAAAAAGAAAATTTCACTTTTCATCTATCATCACAGTTATAGGATTTGTTTTGAAGTCCATTAGAGATCGTGTCAGCTCATTTTCGGATGTTTTTTGCTGAGAAAAATTGAAAAAAACATTTCGGAAGAGAGAAGCGATCACCTTTCAGTGGCTTCTCCCGTCTAAATCCTTTATTGTTCAAATACGTACTGGAGTTTTTTCGTGCACTAACATTAACAGTATAAATTGAATTACAAAGTTGACCACCACATGTTTCGTTAAGTTGTCCGGAACATGTCCATGAACAACAATCTGATTGATCATCATTTTCATCTTGTCTTTTCATTTTCATTGGCAAATGATTACCACAATAACATTCTGATCTATAGATATATATAAAAAAAAAATGACAAATTGACTTTTTCGTTTTTTTTTCTTTTATATTTTCATCAAGGCTAGAAAGCTTGACACATTTATTTCATACCTAAACTGTAATCCAGCAAAATTAAAATTATGTTCAGCACAATAATTAATACATAGAGTAATAGTCATAGATGATGAAGTCAAAGGTTTAACAAGACCATTCAACATACGTTGATGACGACTATCTTTAAAACATCCGACATAATTCCCTATGGAATTTATTGAACCAACACCGAAAATTACTTGAAAACAAAAAACATCAAATAATACAATATTTTATTTAAAGAAAGAAAAACAGGAAGTAGAGAACATCAAAGATAAATATTTTTGACATCATTTTTTTAAACAAGTTGACCATGGTCAGAACATTCAACAATACATAGACATATATACACACATTTTTGGGTGTTAGCACTATATACTTATACACATAAATTACATAATCTATCTTTGTCTCTTATTCTAGTTATAATTCATGAGTAAAGTTCATAGAAGTACACTGGCCTCGTTGTGCAAGTGTCGGATTCTTTTCTTCTTTTTCTTTTAATGTATGGATCATGACAAAGAAGAAAGATGTACAATTGTATGCATCTGATTCAGTAAACGTCATCCTTTTTCTTTTTGGTCCCTGCTCATGCAAAGGTTATCTGCACCGACCAAGATGACGTGCGTGTTAAGCAAGTACAAACAAAACATGTACAACAAAAAAGAAGAAAAAAAAATGAGATCTTAATACGTCGGGACCACGCCTACACATGTATATGTTGTTTCCAATGTATTCTTATGATTATGTAGGTCTTTTTCTTTTTCTTTTTTTGTTTAACATTCATTATCGTTTGTTCAATATCAATCAAATCACTAAGGCGGAGAATATAAATAAAAATATTGAAATATCGATTGTCATGTATATTTGTATGTTTATTACGATCAAAAAGTTCGAAGTACGATAATGAAGGATTAATAACAAATAGATTTTTCTCTTTGATGATTTTTTTTTTCATTATTGTTTTCTCAATATCTTTATAATGAGAAATTAAGAGCAGATTATATAGAGTTTAGTCAACAATATAGTATAGTTGATAAACCGATAACAAAACAAAAAAAAATAAGAGAAAGTTTCGAAAAACTCTTACCTTTAAAAAATATGAAAATCGGAAATATAACTTTGATCATATTGCTTGAATGATAAGAATTTTTTGTTCGAAAGCCGATTGACAATAATAGCAAAAGGTGAGTCTTGTCCTATGTAGATGAGATATACTTGCTTATGATTCTCATTCAAAAGAGGAAGGACGTATTGTGACAGTATTCATCGTCTTTTATGCTTTTACTTTTATCATGTCTTTTCTCTCTCTCTCTCTCTCTGTTTCTCTGTTGCTCTCTTCCTCTCTATGAATGATCGAATGGACAGCTTATTAGTGTTCTTCCCGCCTTCGTTCACTAAGCCAAACAATAACGACCAATTCTCTCTTTTCATCATTTTTCTCTCTTCCTCTTTTTGTATCAATGACTATGATGAAAGGTGAACGAAATATGTACGTGCTTCTTTAATAATAATCCCTCACTCTGATTAACAAAAAAAATCATTATATTTATTGTTGAGACAAACCCAAGTGACTAAGTATCTTAATAATTGATGATGTATGAATGGATATTCTTAAAAAACAAAATTAATAAAGTAGAATTTATACGTTTCATTCAGTAAAAACAAAAAAAAAAAGAAATGAAAGTTGTTGTCAACTTTGAAACTATACAAATTTTATTGTAAATTGATCGTACTATCAGTTGCGAAGTAGAGTTCTCCAGAACGGTCACGAATCTCGAAAAATTCTCAGAAAAAGGCTCGGGATTCGAAAAATGTTTTCTTCTGCCGGATTCTTGTGAAGTATAGACGTTCATATTATCTTTAATTTTAACGTGTGGGTTCAAAGGTTTGAGATAAAATATTTATTCATATTTCTGTTTCCTTGAAAATAAGTTGTTGTTCAGGTTGGTCATTTTGATCTTTTTGAAAGTATCTCGAACAA